GTAGCTTTATGTTTTTTCAGAGGTAATTTTCTTATAGCAAGTTTGATTTATTATTCCTAATCAATAAAAATACTTTCCTAACGTTTTTAACGATTAATGTATCAGTTTATCAACTATATTTATTCTCTAGTACTGTGCTTTGAAAGACATAGTCCATAGGTGATGAGGCACACATCATAGCACCTTAACTCCTGAAGTAAAGCGCAACTTAAGCGAGACGGAGCTCAAAACCTGCTTTTACCTGAACTATAGTGTTTAAGTTAAGTGCAAAAACTTTAATAGTTGTATGAAGGGATTTTTCATTTTCTCAGGATTGACCTCGGTATTTATTTATCGTGACATATTTTATGATGAAAACTCTTACCATAAGCAAATGGTCAAGATATTTATGTATTAGAGGCATCTTGTACGACGCTATGATATATATATTCATAAAAATATGTGTATATATGTATAGAGATATATGGCTTTTTTCTTTCTCTTCTGATAAGTTATATATACACACGCGCGCGAATATATATGAGCCTGTATATATAAGCTTCTCAGTTTTGTTGCCGGCTAGAATGTATTCACCTGGTAATAACTAAGTATATCCTCCATCTCCCTGCCAAACACACAAAAGAAACTGAAGGATTATTTATTTATTTTTTCTTCTGTGGAAGGTTAAGATAAGCTAAAAGATGGAAGACAGAGAGATGGTGGTCTTACCTAAAATGATAGTTTAAAATTTGGCAAACGNCAAACAAAATGACTGACTGATAATTATTAGTTGCTATTCTGTTTTACATTATCGTCTTAGTACCTTTTGCAGTTTACACTTGCGTCGTCTCCCTTATGGTGTGTTGTTTCATGCTAAATAGGCTCTATTGGAATCTATGGGTGTTAGTGGATCTACTGGACCAGAAGCTGTTGCTGCTGCTGAAAAGAATGCTGCTATGTTGACTGCTAGGGCTGGTGCCAGAGACCCGTCTGCAATTCCATCTATATGCCGTATTTCTGCTGCTCTACAATATCCTGCAGGTGAGTTTTCTTCTTCATTTCAATGTGTTATTATCGCTTGAATCAGATTTTAGGTAGCCAGTTTTATTTTTCTCCAACTTCTAGAATAGTTTTCACCACTAATTTAGCAATAGCCATTATTAAAATGCATAAGAGGAGTTGTTTAAGAATAAGGTCTTTTGATCTGAGATGTTGTTTATCTGGACCTGGAACTTAGAAACATAGATTATTTTCCACGGAGACCTGCGGCACCATAGCCCCTTTGGTTTGACAAGAATGTGACCCCTGATAGAGTATTTGTGTTAAGAGTACATCTAAAAATTGTGGATAGAGCCACAAGAAAGAGCCAAAGAAGAAGATGTTGACGCAAACTTGATCTGTTATTCATCCAGATTTGCTGGAAAATGGTTGATTGCTCATGTTTTTAGCTGATAGAGTGCCTACTGATTTGCAGTGGCATTCATTACCAATATAAAGTAAAAAAAAAAAGATCTCTCTCTAATAGTAATAATAACAATACTATTGAAAGTCCTACCAAGTGTAAAACCTATTCCCAACTCGTAGGTATTACCTGTATGGTTCTTTCTCTTCCATTGTGTCCTATTTTTAGCTAAGTTTGCATTGATTCCAAGAAATAGTATAATAACAATACTATTGAAAGTCCTCTACCAAGTCTAAAACCTATTCCCAACTAGTAGGTATTACTTGTATGGATCTTTCTCTTCTATTGTGCCCTATCTTTAGCTAAGTCTGCATTGATTTCAGGAATTTATCGGTTTTCCAAGACAACTTCCTTCCATGTAATTTTTAGGTCTATCCCATCCCTTTTAGGCCATCCAACCTAGTGTTTTGGAGAGCGAGAAGCGGAAAAAAGCGACGAGGCCTCGCTTCACCGAAGCAAGAAGCGTGAAGCGAAGCGCGCGCNATCACATGGAGTTAACCCACGGAAATTTATTAGTAAGCTCAGTGTTTTGGAGAGCGAGAAGCGGAAAAAAGCGACGATGCCTCGCTTCACCGAAGCAAGAAGCGTGAAGCGAAGCGCTTTTTTTTTCATGTGAAGCGCAATTTAATACATAAATAAAAAATATTAAATAGGCATAGATAAATGACCAAGAACTCAACTAAAAAAGCCAGAACAGTTAAAACAGAGAAAAAAAACCAGAACAGTCAAGCTGGATCTTTTTTTTTTGGCTTGATGCCATTGAATAATAAGATAGAATTTACTACAATCACAAAAAAAGAAGAGGAGAAAAGTTAAAACAGAGAAAAAAACAAGAACAGTCAACAAAACAGAGATTAACAAAAAAACAGAGCAGAAGCAGAATATAGAAAACAGAGCAGAACAGAGAAAAGATGGACTGAAAAAAATAGAAAAGAAAAAGAAGAAGAGAAAAAAGAGAAGAAGAGAAAATAGGAGGAGTCGAGAGGAAGCAGGTAAAGCAGAGAAAAGCAGAAGAGGAAGAGAAGAGAAAAGAAGAAAGAGAACAAGAGAAGAAAAACTTACCTTGAGAGAAGTCGCAACAGTGCAGAGAAGAGGAGAAGTCGCAAGGTTTGCAGCAATCACTTGAAGCAGATGTTTTGGAATAAAGGTCGCGTAAGAGTGTATTTGCAAAAATAATTTAAAAAAAAACCCAGGCAGCTGTCGACCTCGCTTAAGCGAGCTTTTCTCGCTTTTCTCGCTTGCGCCTCACTTCTCGCTTTTTTGCCTGAAGCGTGCGCTTTTTATCAGATGCCTCGCTTTAGGGCAGAAAAGCGCAAGTCTTGCGCCTCGCCTCGCTTCTACGCTTTAAGCGAGAAGCGCACGCTTTTAATAACACTGATCCCACCCATCTTTCTAATCCCTGCACCCGTATCTGTGCCCCCGAATCTTAAAATTTAGATTATGACGGATCCAACCTCTAGACCCGCATCCGTATCAGACACCTGCATCCTAGTCCGAGCAACTTAGTCTGTCACTATAGTTTCACACCTATGTATTGATGTATCTGTAGGTCGATGCGGGACATGACCCAACCATCTCAAGAGACCTCTCGTTTTATCCTCAATGTGTGCTACTTGCAGCTCATTTTATCCTCAGTGTGTACTTCTCTCATTATTCATACCGTGATATGGATAATGATGAAAATTGGCATAAAAGGTATTGAAGTATGTGATCATCTCATCTAAATTACTTAATTATATTAAATCTCAACATGCCCCCTCACGTGTAGGCCTGATCTTTTTATGGGCCAAACACGTAGAAATTCTTTTTTTATAATGGGTGACAGTGGGCTCGAACCTAGGATCTCTTGCCTGCGTTGATACCATGTTGAAGTGTGTAGTTAGAGTGGGCACACCCATAATTGCTGAAATATATTAAGTCTCAACTGTGGATACGAAGAAACCATTTGTAGAGGAGAGAATAAGGGTGTACAAGGGAGAGGAGCTGTTGTCTGTTTTGGTTGTTAGGGAGTTGAGATTTCTCTTTATTCTTGTGAAGATTAGGCTGAAGAATGAAGATGACCAGAGTGAGTACTAAAAGATAATATCTCTCATTTATAGGTTGTTCAATGTTTGAGTTAAGGAACTATAAAATCTTCTATAAAAGTAGTTCTTTTAGCTCCAGTGGTGCCAAAATCCAGAAAAATAGCTTATTCTTCAATAATCAGATGCAATGATTATGTGTTTATTTTGCATGCTATCTAGATATTCTAAACTCATACCGTGAATGAATACAAGTTTTAGACCCCTGAATTTCCCCACAAATTAAGAAAATATTAAATAATAACATAGTGGGAAAAAAGAGAAGAATGGCTGGAAGCCTAGACAATCATTATCTATCAATCATCTCTCAGGAAGCAGAGCAAAATGATTCGTCTTTGGAATTCTCATTGTTGAAGGCGTAGAAAATCAATGAAGAAGCTTACTGATTTAATTGAAGGGAACTAAGACAATTAGCTTAGCTAGCATTCCAAAAGAATCTAGTCGTTTATTCAGTTCATGACTATCTATGGGATGCCAAAAAAAACCTATCTCTGGAAAGCAAAATTTGCATTTGGGATCGGGTGGAGCCCTTAAATCAGTTGGAAAATAGCATAGCTATTATTGACTTGACGGTGACTCTTGTTCCCATGAATACAACCTCTTTTCTTGTTCCCAGTTCTTGGACCTTTAGACTAATATTCTTTTGGAAGTTATTTTGTTGATTGTGTTTAAATCTAACTGTTTATCATACCGTTGAGTGTTTTAGATGGAAAAGTTATTTCAGTGTCGTTAGTCGAAGTGTTGAGTCTGTCGACTTGTCTGGTTTGGTTAGAACAGCTATGGGCCTATAGTTTCTGGTGCAGCTAGCAGGTCTCAAGGGACTATAAGATGGATATAGTTTTCAATTCTAGGTGGCTAATTGGACCAAAAATTTAACCACCAGGGCCATCTGAGTGTTAGAAACAGTAAGGGAAATTCTACCTTGATTGGATACCCGGACATCTGAGCTTCTATCAATGCCCAACATGAAAATATAACCAGCAAGGAGAAACATCAGCAGCCAAGGATGTGATAATTTGCAAAACCTTCAACAATTAAGGCAATATAAATCACCTCAAACCCATATAGGTATACGGCGTGCTTGTGATTACTCTGTCCCATAACAAAATCACAAGAGATGACCTAAACCATGAGTAATCAATCTGAATAAAACCTATATGAATGAGTCTCTTCAGCTCATTGTTAGCTTGTTATGTTGTTTTTGTAATATGTACTAGATCTGTTAGACACAGTTGCTTTTATTGAACTTTAGATACTCCATACCATGACTTTCTTGGATTTTATATTCAGGCATTGTCTTTTGAACTTGGCTTTGCATTCCTTGCTGTCATACCTTTTACACGTAGTGATTATTGTATGTACATCTTATTTTGTTTTTTTAACTTGAGTATTTAGGTTTGGATGGCTCAGATGCTGGCTTAGCAGCAGTTATAGAATCTTTGGGATTTTGTATGAAGCTTCGTTGTTCTGAAGCTTCTATATTGGAAGACTTGGAAAAGGCAATCAACTTGGTTCACACACGACGAGATCTTGTTGAAAGTGGTCATGCCTTATTAGATCATGCTTACAAGGCACAAAATGAGTATGAAAGGTGCGGCAAAGGTTTTTCCTTTTTTTTTTCTTGGTTGAATACTTGCTTATTTGCAATGCACAAGTTTTTCTAATGCTTATTCAAACCAGAAACCAGGTGCCTTTACAAAAGATTGAACTCTAGTGCCTGGAATATTGTATTTCATTGTTGGACATTTGGCTTGACCAATATAGGTTGATTGGTTTTATTTCCTGTGCTTTGTAGGACGACAAACTACTGCTTAAATCTGGCTGCTGACCAAGAGAACACAGCGACTGAGAATTGGCTACATGAACTGGATGTAGCTATTGATAATGCTAAACACTGCCTTAACGAGGAATGCAAGTATGTTCGGGGCCTGGTGAGTAATTTTTGTCGCTATGTATTTGTTTACCAGTTTGTTGAAGTAACATCTTATAGGTATCTTAGAACTTAGTTGGATAAAATGATGGAATTACACATTTCTTTCAGTCTTATATGTTCAATCTATTTAATACTTTGAGATGGACTGTGTCAATAACCAAACTTGTATTACATGCTGTCAATTATCTATCCGAATACAGATATGGTCTGTGGGGGTGTCCAAAAAGAATGTAGGACACGCCACAAAAGACTTACTTTTTTTTTAATGAAAAAAAGACTATTTTACTTAATTAAGTGTATTTTGTAAATCATATTCTTTGATATTTATCATTTCATGTCAGCCAAATGAAATCTTTACATGTATACTAGATTGACCTCCGTGGATGAATTTCAAGATCTTTCTGCATGATTGCATGAACAGAAAGTACTTCATGTGAAGTGCCAAGTACCCATATGTGGGAAACAATTGAGTTACCTTAATTGATCCAAAGATTGTGTTTTGAATTTGTTTGGTGTTGTCAGAAGGCCAATTCATCATGCTACAGTTTTGTTAATCCAAAAAGAGGGAAAGCAAAAATAAGGGTCTAACTTCAGAGAAAAAAAGAAATTCAAGCTCTTTAACTAAGATATCTTGATGATGCTGTTATGTCTTTTTTTATTTCCTTTCTCACATACTCATCTTTGTTCAGTTCTGGGAAGTTTCCTTTTAATGAAATGTGATATTGTGGCATCTTTACAGGTAGATGAATGGTGGGAACAACCAGCATCAACTGTAGTTGAGTGGGTTACTGTTGATGGACAAAATGTTGCTGCATGGTGTAATGATGTGAAGCAACTTAAGGCATTTCACGATCAGAAACTACGTTGAATTCGATTCTTTGGCAGCTGTTACACAATGTCTGTAAATTTTCCTTTTCTCGCTTGCTAGTTCTCTGCAACTTCTTGTGGGTTTTGGTATTCGTCGATGCTGGGTTTCTAGCAGCAGCAGCAACAAAACCTAGGCGGCAATTGTTGAAGAACAATTGAGACTTCAATCTAGACCTAGGGA